TGTCTATAGTATTTTATCCTTAGACGGATAGCTAGATAGAGCGATAGAACCAGACGCTCGAGGCCTACCTACGTGTATTCTATAATTTTAAGTAGGACGACTAGGCCTCCCTACTAAGTATAGTAGAGTTCGTATATAATAATAGTCATTATAGTATAATAGGTATTATACCTTTCTAGGCGAACCTCGGACATAGTCTAAGGATAGGTTTTAAGCCTTAGACGGTCTAATTTAATCGAATAATAGACGTGAACGTCTACGCTTAGGAATTAGCGATTAAAATCTTCGAAACCGCACGTAACTATCGCGCTATAATCTAATAAGTAAACGACTCGTATACGAAGTACTATAATAGGTTAGCTAAGGATTAGACGTATAAGGAGGGCGACGAGGTCCTTCTTAATATCTATAATATATAAACGTCGCGAGTAAATAAGAAGCTCGATTATAAAATAGCTAGTCCTTTCTAAATTAAACGTCGCATCGGTATAAGAGCCTACGAGCTCGACTTAGGAAGCGATATAAGAATCTATAACGTATTCCACGTCTTACTACTCGAAAGATTTCGACCTAACGTGTATAGCCGCACGAACGTATAGTTATACTCTATTATACCCTAAGATAGACTAGGCGTGTTCGAAGTGGACTATATTATTAAACATAGGATCGATAAAGACGGTATTTAGAAATATAGAATCCGTTAGAAGGACTATACTAAGGACAAGGACACCTAGGAACTAGCGGTATATATCTTAAGTTCTATAATGGCTGCGTATAAGTAAAAGATATAGAATAGCGTATTATTAATATAAGTATAGTAACGTCGCGGTCGTCGTAAAAAGAAGAAGGATACCGTAGAGAACGAAGTGTTAAATTACGAATCCTAAACGCACACTAGGAAAACTCTATAAGGCAGCCCTATAATTCAAGCGATACACGGTTACTAAACGCGAAGAAAACGTAAATAACCGTTATAGGCACGCGACGCGACATATTATAATAGAATAATATAGAGAAGTCTAGAATAGACTAACATGGACTATTGTACACGAGAAGAACATGGGACTAAGAAACTAAAAAGGTACCCTACTACGGAATTAAACTCGTGATATATAATATAAAAGGTTAGAGTACCCGAACCGATAACTACTAGGCTACTAGTTCGGGTGCTCTAATATAATTTAGAGAGATAAACTAATTTATATACGATGCCTATACTTAAGTAACTTAAAGGAAATTAGAATCTAAAATTTAATAGTTATAGAATAAATAAGAACGTACATAATATTATTAAGTTAAGAATTAAATTACTAGAAAACTAGTAGATAGGTATCTAAACGGTCTAAAAAGGACTAAAACGGATAGAAACCAGGTAGATAGAGCTAACATACACTATATAGAAACCCTAGTAAACAGAGCTATAGAGCTACTCCTCTATCTTATTATTACTCTTAGAGCGTAGCGAATAAACTAACTAAGTAATAGAGTGATGGAGGTTAGAGACCTTATCCTCTAGAGTAACCACGCGCTCGGTTAGAGCCTAGTAAGATAATAACTAAGCGCTAGAGCGGAGCGACTAGACCTAAAGTTAGCTAACGCGGTCTAGAATAATCTAGAATAGAATATATACCCTCTTACGAGGCGACTTAGAGGGAGAAATAGTAGACCTCTTATAAGATCTATTAGTAGCGCGAGATAGACGGGGGGGGATAGAGTGAATTCTCTCTACGGCCTCTATAGCTAGAATAGACTCCCTAGAATAGGTAGCCTAGGCGCTAGGGATCTCGCGGCGGCTAGAAAAATCAATAGGTGTTAAAAATAATTAACGTGCTCGTAACTTATACTTTAATAATCTCTAGGAAGAGCTTATAGCGCTCTCTAAACTCCCTCTATATAGTAGGTAGGCGGCTATAAGGACCCCCGAGGGTCTCACGGACGCGAAGATCGTTATATATATCTTATATATATATAGGAACCTAAGAATATATTAGCGCGGACTACTTTAGATTATACTAGATTAAGATAGCCTATTATACTTACCTATAGATAAGTCTTACTAGTTATGGTATAGCGGTGGTAGCGGGTAGGAAGCTTAAAGATTAGGCGTATAGGCCTATCACGGTTAGTAGAGTAGTAGCTAATACTAGAGTTAGAGCGGAAGAGATATTTATAGCCGGTAGCGTGAGCCTTAATATACTTAAAGTATATTAAACTATAGTTCACCGTTTTCCTATAGCGTAAACCGCGACCACGTTTAGTATCTTTAGTAACCTAGGCCTTATTATTACTAGGGCTAGGTTTAGAGTAAATATTAAGGTCCTAAAAGGACCTAGAGTAACTAAGCTAGTCTATATTAGACCGAAAAGAGGAACGGCGTTTAGAGCGAGGCGGCGAAGGCGTGAACTCTCGATTATTATCTATAATAAGATCTTCTTTATCCTCTAAAGAAGGTAGAGTAGATAGATAGCGCGAGTAGATATAGATAGACTTTATAGCTACCTCTTCCGTAATACTAGTACTAGAATTACCTAGATTAGAGCGACTAGTGGCCACGTTAGTAGTAATAGTAGTAGTAGCCTTAGCTACCTTCTTCTCTAACTTAGAGCGCGCCTTTATACTACTATAATAAGTAGATTTCTTAGCCGGTATAGCTAGGGTAGAGGTAATCCCTTTAGAGCGAGTCTTACGAGAGGAGGAGGTAGGCTTAGGAATAGAACTAGTATTAGATATCTATATATATATATTAGCTAGAGATCTAAGAGTAGAATACTCGTTTAGCCTTAAGGCGATTAAAGAAGCTAAATTAGTGACCGTAATAACGCGAATAGATTATATAGGACTAGTTCTAATAAAAATGGACTACTCTAGACCCGAACGGATCTAAACTAAAGAAGATAGTATATAAATTAATGACTTACCTTAAGAGTAAGGTAGATATACTAGAGAAGAAAA